CTACTACTTCCGCCACACCATGGATGTACACCAAGCAATTCTGCCAGAGTCACCAAAGCCAAGCTCGAGCTCGCGCCAAAACCCAGCCCTAGATACCTGGGACGCAATATCATCGTGGGCGCATACGCCCGAAATGGTGAGCGAACTGCTTTAGATATGGTCTAGAGATGAACCTTACATGGTACCAGGGTACCGAAGAAGCTTTAGGACAACTCGAGATTCGAAGGGCTACTCCCCAATCTACCGCCGGGTACAGCCACGGGCCTGACCACTCGCCACCCATAATTTACAACGAAACACCCCATCCGTCCACAGCGGCTACGACACCTGCTTTGACCGACTCTCAGTCCGACTTGTTCCATTCTCCTACTCAGGAAGACACGCTCCCGTATGCTTTTGATTCGCTCGAACACCAAGGCTTTTGCAGTCAAGCACGATCTCTGTCGGACGCACAAAACTTCTCATCCCGTGAGTACGGAGTTCGTTCCCGCGCAAAACACGAGATCTCATGCACGCCCACAGATTTCTCGTTAGAGGCTGCTCGAGAAGGCGAATTCACCTTGGGGGGAGCTCTGGAGGAGCAAGCCCAAGGATCTCAAGCTCCCAACATTTGCGTTACGGAGGGTCCAATGCCAGTCACCTACGTGGCTCCCTTGAGGTTCTCCAGAGCTACCTACAACTCGCTCCTCCAAGCGCGCGCCCCCATACCCGCAGAAGTGAATATCCCCCCCGATAACGCCTTGTACTCCTTCGCAGCTCTTGAAAGGAGAGGATGCCGTCCCGTGATCTCTTTCACCGAGATCGGCGCAGAATTGTTAGAGATCACCATCGACTTCGACGGCTCCGTTTCCGTCCTCGTTAAAGAAAATTTCTGTCGCGTCCCAGGATGTGGGTACTGGGCAAAGAACGCCGGAAGGGTGCCCCGCCACCGACTCACCCATTTCAAAGACCGCGGGTACGAGTGCCAGAACCCGTACCGCCGAGGCACTGGAGCTCCACACCACTTACAGTGTCAGCTGGGCCCTGGTCAGTATGTGACGCGGTTGGACCTATTCAAAAAGCATTTTCGCGCATCGAATTGTCAGGGGTACACTCCAGCGTTCGCGAATGTAAAGAACCTTTGGCACGGCCCGGATTCTGTGGATGAGACCTGTCTTTTGCCGTTTACAAAGAATGTTCACGTTCCTTTCAGGCTCAAGACCTTCAGGTCGTGATGCCCTCTGGTCATAGTCACTAATCGGCACAGAATATCGCAGCCTCGTTCCCATCTACATCTTTTACTTTCTTCTGCCGCCCATCACTTGTTTCCAATGTCGAATAGTTTGTACTATTTACAGAAATGATATCTGAAACGTCAATTTTGCAACACTGTGAGCGACCGCTCGGAACTGCCCTCCGGACCCTATTTTTTAGGGTGAGTTCCAACAAACGGCTTATTTGAGCCATCTCGCACCATCTCAGCTACAATTAGGCTATATCGTGTCATGAAGACGTCCTAATTTGGTTCCGCAACGATTTCGGCGGTCGAGGAAGAGCTTGTGGACTTGCGGATCGGCGTGACAGTATTCCATACGCCAGGGATGCCCTGGCAATGTAGTTTGGGGGGATCCCACGCTACCCCCATCCGGCGGTGAGGACTCAGATCGTAGAATTGGGATTGAGGTCCCGGTGGCGACAGCTTCTTGAACGACGAGAATGGCTTCGATTATGGCATTCACAATGGGGGCTACAAACCGCGATACCATAGTAAAGGTGGTCACCCAAGGATCGTCTATGGGCGCGGGGACGGAAGCCCGACTCCAGCCATCCCATTCTACGAGGGACGCATCTGTGCGTGCCCAGGACCGCAACCGTCCGAGAGTAGTACCGCAATAACTAGTGTAGCATTGTTGCCGCCGCATGACTATCTGACCGTTCGAAGAATGTGAGTACGAGTAGTATTTGCGGGGCAGGACTCTGACAACAGATGGGATATGCATCTTGAGTTCGAGGTCATGGTGGATTGAAAACCCGAGGTTGAGTTTGGTCTGCCACGACCCACTGTGTTTACCGTCTTCATCCGGTAATGCGAGCTTTAGGAACGGCTGTGCCATCCTCGAGCCCTGCAAGAAGGAGCTCAACTTAAGAGGAATCTTTGAACGATAAGAGGAGCCCGTGGGAGTTGCAAGTGAAAGATATCCATAACGTCGAGGTGTTCAAGAATTCTTTAGAATAGCTCTGCGGGGAGATTGAACAGGTTAGCTGAAGGCATCCGAACTGTGGCCAAAAACTTGGCAGTGGTATGTAAATCGTGGGAGATGCAAGCGCAAACGTCGATCTATTGCTGCAGTGGTAACCCACTGTCTACTTGAATGTAATACAGTTACTTGAGAAACACTATAAAATGCCGAAAACATACAGGCAAACGAGGGGGGGTCATGGAGGAGATTGAGATTGCGACATTGTTGGATGCTGTGGGGGTTGGATTCGCTGAACCGCGGCTTCGGTGGTTCCCCCCTGCGTCTGTGACTTTGGTATGAGGAGATCCCGTTCTCCCGGATCCTCATCTTCGACGTTGTCGTCGGCGCCATAGCCGGATGGCCATGAGCAGAGACGGCTGGTGCATGTGTGGGCTGCAGTGGAAAATCAAAGACATGGGAGACGAGAGCTCGGGGAGATTTACTAATTGACGCAAAATCGAGACAGAATCCGCCGATTAATTGTAGACACACTGTAGTACACACGACTGCGAGCACCCCGGCTGGATCGTCGGACATGGAGGTCCAGTGGGTAGACTTAGAGTTAGACTAGATGTAATCTGGTAGTGTTCGATCACGTGTTCATGACTTTCGAAAGAATTTGTCGAAAAGTCAGGATCCCTCGAGATAGTTTCCCGGTCAGCTTTATCACGAACCACGCTCTCTAGGAAATGGGAAGGAATAGTGAGTCTTTGTCTCTGGTTGGTGGTTGCTCAACGACCCTCTGACGACCTATTTTCTTTGAGAAACGAAGAAACACGATGTCCCCGTGAAGTCTAGTATGCGCTATCCTCGCACGAATTCGATATAAAGGCCTTATACCTTGAACTAGAGCTCAAGAAGGACCCTGGGGTCCCACGATTGCCCAACCTAGCTGCAAAGGTAAGGAGGATGGAGAATAGGAAGACGAAACGGGTGAGTAAATGAATTTCCGAGAACGTCCTCGCAAGCGGCCAACCATCGTCGCAGTCTCTTTCCGCCGCCTATCCTGACCACGACGCTGAGATGGCCTCCGAACCAACCATTTCTTCACTTGCCGAGCTTGCTGAAGCTTTCGCCCCTGTTGAGGACGAGATCGACCCATCGTCATCCGCAGATATTAGGCAGAAAACCAAGGAACAAACCAAGAGACATTACATCCGAATGCTTCACAGGGTCATTGACGAAAGCGACATAATCCTACTGGTTTTGGACGCTCGAGACCCGGAAGGCTGCAGAAGCCGGCTTGTCGAGGAAGAAGTCAGACGAAGAGAGAGTGAAGGGAAAAAACTCGTCTTCGTGTTGAACAAGGTGGACCTTGTGCCAAAAGATAATGCACAGGCGTGGTTACGATATCTGAGGCACTCTACTCCTACTCTCCCATTCCGATCTGCCTCGTCCCACCAGAGAACCAATTTATCCTCGACCACGGCCCCTGCCCTCGTGCGACTGCTCAAGGCGTACAAACCCAGCTCTTCACAAAGCGTAACCGTTGGAGTGGTGGGCTATCCCAATGTCGGGAAGAGTAGCTTGATCAACTCTCTGAAGCGAGCAAAGGTGTGTGATTCTTCCCCTTGCCTGTACTCTTTAGGCTATAAAATCTTCTCTCAGGTGTGTTCTGTGGCAGCACAACCAGGCCACACCAAAGATCTTCAAACGATTCAACTTGAGCGGGGTATAAAGATCGTCGATTCCCCTGGCGTCGTCTTTGACGATGACGATTTTGACTACGATGGAAAGTCAAAGAAGAAGAACACTGTTCTTCTCCGGAATGCCATCAAGGTCGAAGATGTCGAGGATCCTATTGCTTTGGTGGAACAGATTCTGTCAAGAACGGATCATGAACTATTGAAAAAGATCTACAATCTCCCTCAGGTCGAGAAAACCCTCGAATTCTTGACGATGATGGCGCTGACGACAGGACGGCTGCTGAAGGTGATGGTTGTCGTTCATCCAATTCAGTGGAACTGACGATAGGTACACTTAGGGTGGTACTCCTGACATTCTGGCTGCCGCGAGACAGATCCTGACCGACTGGAACCACGAAAAGATTCCTTACATGTCGACTCCACCCACGACACACATATCGTCGATACCTTCTACCGTTCTCAGTGGCGGAGACCGCATTGTTGCCCCAGGAGCCGAGAACGTTGGCCAAGCACAAATAGTCACAGAATTATCCAAACCGTTCACGCTCGGTGGACTTTTTGGAGATGCTGATCAGAGTGCTTTCGACACTGAGATGGGGAATACAGAAGATTCCACAATGAGAACGGAGGACGACGTGCGTGACCAAGATGTGTAAGGCGGTCACATCATCTCCTTGCCTTCCGACTGAGTACATCACAACAGTGTTCCTATGAATGATGAAGAGCCAGGGATGTTAACAGGTTCCCGCAAACGAGCCCACTCGCCCTCCGTGATGTCTATGAACGAACCTTTGCCATCAAACATGTCTGCTCGACAGCGAAAGCTGATGGAACAGGACTCAGGCCTCTTGATAGGCGGCAAAAGAAGGAGAACGCTCGATCTGGAAGATGTTTCTGGGCCCATCCAAGAGATCAATCCATTAAATCGAAAGGTCCTCAAAAAGCAAGCAAAGAGGGACAAGAAAGCGATGAACAGGTTGCCCGGAAAGTTTTCTGGGATGGACATCGACAGTTAAATTGCATACTTTGTACTACGCACTTAAGTTTTCACCATGAAACATGTTACAGTCGCAACGTTCCGTGGTGTGGAATGACCGATGGGGTTCGGCAGCCTGGTGTGGAGAAGAAAAAAAGATACACTGGGAGGGAGTCGAACCCCCGCCCCTTGCTTGGAAGGCAAGGATGATAACCGTTTCACCACCAGTGTGATGTTTGGAAGGTCTCATGTCAGCATAATGATCCGAGATCCTGACGCCATACATCATTGGAGAGAGATTAGATCATGTGATGTCAACCATGTCATTATTTTTCGCCACCGAAAGACAGGTCGCAATAGCTGCTGTGAGGCGAGCGTGCGGGCTGACTTCTACCGTATTCAACAAGCTTATAAAAAATGAGACCCTGACCAAGGGCGACAAGTCTCCCGTCACTGGCAAGTCACTCCCTCCAGATTTTCACGACCCAACTAATCTGCGGTGGTTCAGTCGGAGATTTTTCCGCGCAGGCCGTCGTGAACACCATCCTAAGTCGGGCGTTTCCTGACGACCCCATCATCGGAGAGGAGGATACGAAGGACCTGCGAGGAGACTCGCCTGAGTCCACCGCATTGCGAAGTCGGGTAATCGATCTCGCGACGGAGAGCCTCGCAGGCGAACTTGGCCTCGGAGAGATGGAAGAATGGGGTTTAGGACCTAAGCATACTCACACGCCAAGCCAGCTCTTGGATGCGATTGATCGCGGGACGTATTCTGGCGGTGCGGTTGGGCGTGCGTTTCTATCTCGTTCAGTTCGTTCGTATGTCGATTGATCAGGTTTTGTTATCTTAGGGATGTGGACTCTTGATCCAATCGATGGAACGAAGGGTTTCCTTCGAGGAGAGCAATTTGCCGTCTGCCTTGCTCTGATTGTCGACGCCAAGGTGCAACTTGGCGTTATTGGTTGTCCCAACCTCTCTCAGGACGCATCAAAACCAGACGGACCCAAAGGCTGTATGTTTGTGGCTGTTCGAGGGCAGGGTGCAGAACAAATGTCCATATCCGGGGCGAACCCTGCCCCGGTGAAAATACCTGTTTTCCCAGACGGTGACCTAAACATGTTGGAATCGGTGGAGGCGGCACATTCCTCCCATTCCTTCAACGACAGGGTCTCTCGGCATCTCGGCATCACAAGGTCGCCGACACGTATGGATAGCCAGGCAAAATATTGTGCGTTGTCCAGGGGAGACGGGGGGATCTATCTCAGACTTCCTGGGACCTCTGGCTATGTGGAGAAGATCTGGGATCACGCACCGGGATCACTGCTCGTGGAAGAAGCGGGCGGGGTTATCACTGACGCTCGTGGACTGCCCCTGAATTTCGGCCTGGGGAGAGAGCTCCGAGAGAATCACGGTGTGGTAGCCGCGGGGAAGTTCGTTCACGAAAAAGTACTCGCGGCGGTGAAGGAGGCATCGGAAGAGGAAAAGCCAAATGTATAATTTACTGTCCAGAACTACACTAAAACCAAGTACCCGAAGAGAGCTATGAAGGTGCAGAATGTACAATCGCCGTGTTGGATTATTTCAACCTGGCAAAATACTATGCAATGCACGAAGGAATACAAATGTGCGACTGCGTTTGTAGCACGGGGAACGTGAGATTTCACAAGGTGATTTCATGCGTTGTTGTTCGAGTGCTTGCTTGCGGTCTTGCGGATACCAAACAGGTTGGACTTTTTCTTGGCACTCTCGACGCTGCGATTGCTACTACTGGTAGAGCTCCGTTTAATCGAGGGCGGGTGATGTTGACTCCCGTCATGCTGAGGCGTACCCCCTGAATCTGCCGTGGATGTAGTGCTCGTTTGTATCGCCTTTACAAAATTCCTGTGGATAGTGGGCGTGTGAGGAAAGGGGGTGGAGTAGAGATTCTTGGGAAACTGACCGCTGGGTAGCGTCCAGATAATCCTCCCTTGTCATATGCTTGCTCGTCTTTACAGAGATTCCAGAAGCACTGACGTTCACTCCCTTGTCATGGAGTCTGAGATATGGTGAGGACACAGTAGGGGTAGAAATGGTGGAACGCGCACGATTTCTTTGTCTCGTCGATGGTGGTGGAGATCGTTTTTACAACATAAATTGCACCTGTGACCACAGCAATGAAGAGAGCGAGGGTCTGTGGAGAGGTGAGAAGTGACGTTCCAGCAACGAAGATATTGGCGCACAAAGACGGAGTAGATGGTGTCTAGCCTGAAGGTCTGGGTGAGTTTGAGGTTGTGATGGGTTAAGGGGGGAACGCACCAGTGGGTCATCTTGGAAGTGAAAGTGAAGGGAGAGTACGGTTAAGATACATTAAGTAAGTGTACCTCTGTGTAATTTCCAATTAGCCGGTCCCCTGGTAACACCATAGCACTGGTCACGGTCACGCACTCCCTCGCTTACTACCCCCTTCACGGGCTATGTCCTGCACCGCCAAAGTGGACGTGGTCTCACATTTCCACACATACACCCCAAAGGGCTTTGATCCCTGGTTAGTAGATATCACCAACAATCAGAGCCACTCTGCCGGATTTAAACGCATCAATCGTTGCACTTTTAGTTTTCAGGTCATGGTCCTGTTCCTTTGCCCGTGAAGACCATGGCTTGGACGTGGGTCACGTGACGGACTGACCCTTTGACCATCTGATAGGCCACAAAGGGTGCTCGTCGCGTTATAGTCCCGAGCGGACATGGTTTGCGCATTATCTCTCCCTTTCCCCACCCACCACTCCCTCACCTACTGCCATGTCTGCTATGAACGGCCCCCTCGAAACTTGCCCTGCTAGTTCTGTGGAGAAGCACCGTTTTGACAACATATCCGTTAAGGTGAGTTTAATCGGTCAATGCCATATACGCCACTGTATTGACAGAGTTTACCTCGCAGTGCGTCTTCAAATGTAAGAACCCCGGGTACAAGACATACTCCAATCTGCATAAACACTACTTGGACGTGCACAAGATCTGTCTACACAAGTGAGTTGCTCAGAACCGTCAGTGCACACATAGTCTTACTGTATGCATGACCAGGGTGGCCCAGCTTGATCCTGACAATGAAGACGAGTTCCGTAAACGGGTAGCTTCTGTTCTCTCTCCTGCAACAGGCGTCAACGCAGCTTCACAACGGTGCGTGTCTCATCTGCCTGTCGTCGGACTATTCCAGGCGCATCACCTCTTCTAATCACAATAACAGTGGCCGTCTATCGTCACATACAAACCAGCCCCTAGCACCTAGTTCCCCACCTCAAATTGCTGGTCCGAGTAGCCTCGGCGGGTACCGAACGCCCTCGAATGTGGGACAAGTCAACCTGTCGACTTCTCCGAGATTCTACACAACACCAATCCCCACCGGAAGCCCATTCCAGAATGCCAGCGCTAGCTCAAGACCCCCGGTCTTGAGTGAGGTTGGCCCATCTCGCTCCTCCGCATATCACACCATCCGCCACCAACCATACCCGCAATCCCGCCCACAGCAACCCGGATCGCACTCGATGCTTTCCCCTGTTCACGCCCAAGCTAAAGGAAAACACCGCGAAGTTCCTTACACGGCCATGAATCATGGCTACCCAACGCCTCACACGCTCTCACCGGCACCCTACCTGGAGGTACGTTCCAGTGTGCTTGAACGCCATGCTCCGAGTAACACATTCTGTAAGGGTGTTACCCCGACCGCTGGACCCTACAATGAGCTGTATGCGGAACCACGCTCGAGCATGGGTCCCTCATACTCTGGATCACCGCAGGCGGTGACCAGAATATCGCCACACGTCCAACCGACCCAGGTACCACAAAGCTCTTTCGAATCGACAGTACCCGGCAACTTCCCTGCGCCCGCCACTACTCAGGAACACATGCGCTTCGTCAATTTTGGGCAGGAGCCCGAGGGTTCAGCATCGGCGCGTCACGTCTGGCATACCCAACCTCAGCGCCACCTGCAGTCTGGTTCTGCGATGTTCTTTCCCACCCCACCAATGGAAACCAATGCATTGCCAGACAGTTCCCCCTCCCTCCCTCCACTAGCTCAACGCAAGCGCGCGCCACTACGGGAGGATCAAAGGCGCGGACTCGCGAGGTTGAATATACCTGCGGCTCCTTCCCGTGGTGCCGCGCAGCAACCAGTATCGCACCCGTACTCGCGACCAGTGAACGTGAGGCAATAAGCTTTCGGGTTGATTGGTAACTCACGATCGACTGTCTTTTAGGGTTCCACCACATCGGAACTAGCCCGGCAGGCCCGCGAAAACCGCCGACAGGGATTGTCAACGGTTGCGAATGCTGCAAGGGTAACTTCTGCGCAGCGTGCGCCACCTCTCGCGGAAGGACAGGTCGAGGCGGTGGCGAATATTCGATGGGAACAGGATCACACCGCGACTGTCACACCTTACGTGTTGGAGGCGCAGGAAAGAAAGGTTCCTGGCTCGTTGGCAGATAAACAGAGCCATCCACTTAACCCGATAGAACCGACCCCAGTTCACCTCGGACGTACAAGCAAAGTTTCATTCCCACAAGTGAAGGAGCCAGCGCCCGTCGTCAACAACGCGATCCAAGAATTCCCAGCGGCCACATCACACGGTCAAACCCGACCGCAGGGATCCCAACAACTTGGTGGCGACCAATGTATCGGCGGAACATCCGGGACAGGACCAGCACAGCCACTTAGGTGTATTCAACCGGAAAAACCATTCCAGCCTCCTCCAGGCCACGTTGAGCGACCACAGACAACCAGCGAAGCCACGCTAGTCCCGATGGTACGAGAATCGGATCAGGCGCCACTGTCGATCCAACTGTACAACCCGGATAAATGCCAACAGATGAAGGCGCCGGGTGGGCAGGATGATGCTCAAGGAGACACGCAGGGCACGTGTAGTTTGTGGGAAGGCCGGGAAGACATTAAAACACCCTACTTCTACCTCCCTGAGACTTTCGAGCCACTCCCGTTCGAAGACAGCGAATGGTGGTAAACTGATTGATAGGAACGAGTTACTTGGTCTCGATCGCCTGCTCACAACCTCACGCCCGACTCCCGTGCAACGGGCTGGGATTGCGCGGGCTAGCCCACCCCGCGGCTCTCCACGACGTGAGACCCATCGATTACACACCCTCTCGAAGTCCACTCCCCCTTTTTCTCGCTTTTGCATAACAAAGTACGTGACCCCGAACTTTACTGCGAAACGTGGGCTCACAAACGAGCAGACACATCC